TATGCGACTTAAATTGGTCGAGAACCCTCATGCACCAACAATGAAAAAATTCTTCTCTTTCGAAAAAAATCATATTTTTGACACGTTACAGATAGTCAGTGTAACTTGAATAACTTTTGAACACTACAAGATAAAAAGTTCGAACTTTCGTAGATTAAGAGAGCAGACTTTGCGCTATTGAATGATCACCTTGAAATTAAAAATCTATCTGAAAACGTTTTTGTCCGGTAGGGCATAAAATCTTCAACGGTAATTAACAGTCTTGATCACTTACTCACCTGTTGAATTTAATATAGATTTGTCCCCGAAAGACCACGCCTTCTAACGCTGAAAAGACAAGATCTCTAGCTAGATCCGTTCGCGAGATATTACTCCTAGAGTTTTCTCCATCTATTTCTGACGCCGACATTAGTATAGGTCTTGTTTTGCATAAACAAGATCAAATTGATCAAGCATTAATACATTTTAATAAAGCATTAGAAAATACATCATTACCATTACATATTGCATGTGTTCATCATAATTTAGCATTCGTTTATAGTCAACAAGGTAAATATGACGAAGAACTTGAATATTATGAAGAAGCTCTTAAATATCGATCACGTCAATTACCAGCACATCATTTACAATTAGCATCATTATAAAATAATATTGGTATTGCATATTCAGATATGCATGAATATGATAGAGCTTTAACTAATTTACGAAAAGCACTTGATATGCGTTTAAAATTATTATCTGATACTCATATTGATGTTGCAAGAAGTTATGCAAATATTGGAACTGTTTATGCTAAAATACAAGAATATCGAATGGCTTTAGAATATTTTAATAAAGCATCCCTTTTATTTGAAAAACAACAACAAATGCCACAAGAAGATATTGAACAACTTAATAGAAATATTAAAATTGTGAATGATAAACTTAGGTAAATGAATTCGATTGAAATTATTTATTTATTTATTTAGTCGTTTTTTTTCTTTCAGACGAAAAACATATTAATCAATCAATTTGTTATCTTCTGATGAAATTAAAACATTTGACAAAAAAAGAAAAAAAAAGCCCTGTGAAAAACTACTTCTATTCTGTTTTTTTTCTCTGAATGTATTTCTCATTGAGAACATGTGTGAATAAATATATTTTATGAAAATAATTTGTAAATTTCCTATTAAAAAATTTATCAAATTATTGTTAAGTATTTATTTTTTATTTTTTTTTCCTTTGACTATAAATTTAGTGTATTCAATATGAGCTTTTTATCGATGAAATTGTTCACAATCAATGATCTTATCGATCTCTAAAACAAAACGCCTCGCTCCTTTCCGTGCCACGAGAAACTACCGGGACCTATGCCTTTCAATCACCGAACTTATCTGAGCGTATTATATAAGGTAGACGCGCATTTTATGCCAGCAAAGAATAACCTATAATCAAAGGCTTTTATATGAATCTTAAGTAATCATATTAGTCTTTCAAATGACATATTATTCGATAATATAAATATGAGAATATTAACAATAAACTTTTCTCAATCGATCAACGAGCCACGGGTTACATGTTCAAGCAATCTATACACTTAGTAATCAGATTCAAAGTAAAAAAATATATGAAAATGTCGTATGCTAAACCAAAAACCAAACAACATAGAAAATATTTTGAACTATTTAATAATCAAAATTTATCTCATGAATACTTATGTGAAAAATAGAGAAAGAAAGCTGTAAGCGCAATCCCTTGCGGGATTAAAAATGTGAAACACGATGGACCTATTGTAATTAATTAGATGGACATCGTTTTGTTCCATTTCTTCAAGATAGATTTGTAGCTTACCGCTTATTTGATGCTTCAAAACTACGGTTTCTCTGTTACAGTCTGTGATGGTCTCTGGGAGTTCTCTATCACGGTCTGTGATGGTTCTTGGAGTTCCTCTGTCACGGACTGTAATGGTCTCCGGGGCTCTCTGTCACGGTCTGTGATGGTCTCCGGGGGTTCCTCTGTCATAGTCTGTGATGGTCTCTGAGAGTTCTCTGTCACGGTCTGTGATGGGTCCAGAGGCTCTCTGTCACGGTCTGTGATGGGTATTTGGTTTCTCTGTCACAGTCTGTGATGGGTCCAGAGGTTCTCTGTCACGGTCTGTGATGGGTATTGGGGTTTCTCTGTCACGGTCTGTGATGGGTATTGGGATTTCTCTGTCACGGTCTGCGGGGGAGAGGGAGGGGGGAGGTGCAAATTTCTACCGCTAAACACTTCAACACTCCTTTCAGATCGCGTTTCACAAAAAATAAGGAGAACAATCAGATTAAAATCGATTAAAAAATGATTGAAAATCGATTATAATCATACACCTTTAATCGATTTTTAATCGATTATGAATCGATTATAATCAAAAAAACCAAATTTTCATCGATTATTCCTATTATTTTCGTTTTTAATAGATTAAAATTT